ATGAAGATGTTCATCATTTTTTAACAGAACATGCCTGCATCACCATTTGTTACTGATGCTGTAAAATTAAAATGAATCCGACCGTGAAAAAATTAAGTTGATGATTTTCATTATTTTAAAACTTAAAAAAACTTTAAAAATAAAAGAATTAACAAATTTCTCATTAATCATTCTCTCATCTCACACACACACACCACACACACACACACACACACACACACACACACACACACACACACGCACACTTAATAACTTATAACAGCACTCCAAATAATTTTAATTTGATGATTAATCACAAGGATGCAACATGCTGCTAAGCAGACCTTGTTAACATGAGCTAACTGAACCAACGACATGAAATATACAACATTTTATAATAGTACACAGAATTTGATGACAGTATACAGCATTTTATAACATTATATAACAATGCATAACAGCATATAACATTGCTTAACATCAGATAACAATATATATAACAATTTGATATGTGACAATGTAACTTCTAACGATGTGCAAGCAACAACATGCGACGTTGCTGAAGAGTGCGTACCACTTAAAATTAATTTAAAACAACTCTACGTAAGAGTCAACATCAACGATGACTTTAAACTTGAAAACAACGACATGACGTACAAAAGTTACGCTACAAATCATTAAACAACAGTCACGCCTTAAACGACTTGCAACAACAAGCAACATGCAACATGCAGAAGGCAACAACATGCAACAATATGCAATAAAATACAACGTACCACAACAAGCACGTACTACAATCTGCAACAAATAACGACATGAAATAACATGCAACAAAATATGACACACAAGAACATCAACAGCATCAACAAACATCAACAAAGAAAATGATAAAAATAATAATAATAATAATAATAACAATAATAATAACAATGTATACTACTAGTAATAATAATAACAACGACAATAGCAACAAAATGAAGAACTCATAAATCTTTAAAGTGATTTGCCCCAATTAAAGCAGAGTTCAGCGCAATCGCTACAATATCATTGTTGTTGGTCTGAAAGTTGAATGAGTGAGTGAGTGAGTGAGTGAGTGAGTGAGTGAGTGAGTGAGTGAGTGAGTGAGTGAGTGGATGAAGAGATGGGACAAATGAGTGACGGAATAAATGGTTGAATAGATGGGATGAATCAATATGAATCAATTAAACAATTAATTATTTAATTAACCAATTAATCAATTTAATTAACCATTTAATTAGACATATGAACGAATGATTGAATTGATGATTGAATTGATTAAGTGATTGAAGGTGTGATGATTGAGTATTTGAAAAGATTTCGTTAACAAATAATTGATGAAATATAAAGAATGAGTGGCTGGCTGAAGAGATGTGAGAAATGAATGAATAAAAGAACGAACGAACGAACGAACGAACAGCTAAATCAATGGATGGAAAGATGAGTGTTAGAAATGATGTGAGTTGAAATGAATGAATGAATAAAGGGTTTGTAATCGAATTCGAGTTCGACCGCCAGATTGCTCTTCAAATTTAACGTCACATGACTGCTAAGAAGGTGAGTCATTGAATGATTGAAGATGAGTCAACAAATTAAATTAACGAAAGAATAAACGAATAAACAATTAAAAGAGTGAATTTACAAACAAATTGACGAACGAACTAATGAATGAACGAACGAATGAATGAGTGAATAAACGAGTGGTTGAATGAATGACTGAATGAATGAATGTATGAAACGATGAATTCATTTATTTATTTGAATGAGTGAATGAATGTATGAATGAATGAATGAACGAACGAAAGAACAAACGAACGAACGGAAGAATGAATAAATAAATGATTTGATTGTGTGAATAAATAAATGAATGAATGCATAAGTGGATGAATGAATGATTAAGCAAATAAACTAATGTATGATATAACAGTGAATAACATTGAAAAACTAAAGTAGACTAGTGAAGATTACTAGGCATGTGACCTTCACCGCCTGAACAATGAAAAAATGAGGAGGATGATGATGATGATGATGATGATGATGGTGACGATGATGACGACGATGATGATGATGATGATGATGATGATGGTGATGACGATCACGATGATACAAGGTTATTACCATAAATGAAAATGGTGACCATAGAAGCAAAACGTTATGAAAGAAGGAAGTGCAAACAGTAAAATAAATAACACCTGATCATCGCTGTGTTCAATAATGACGAACGGCTTGATGGTCGAACACGACAGACTATCTACTTACCTGCCTGCTTGCTTGTTTACCTACCTACACACCCTGCAACCTATCAAAGTACCTACCTACCTACCTACCTATCTATCTACCTACTTTTAGAAAAAACTCAATAAATTTTAAAAAAAAACATCCCCACTCAAACATCATCACCCAAACATCGTCATGTTTTTCCATCACCATCATCCAAACATCATCATTCAACCATCATCATTCAATCATCATCCCATCAACGTTGATAATGAAAGTGACAAGATGAACAACAATAAAAATGAACATTAACAATAAATTTCTTACAACTGAATGAATTGCTAATTGATTTTGTTGCGTTATGTAAGCTTTGATGGGCTTTATGAGTAACTGCTTTATTCAATAGAAACAACAAATCAATTATAACTTAATACGTACATACATGTTAACATAAACAAACCTAAACGTACATATACACACACATTCACGCACGCACACACACGCACGCACATACACACTCACACATACAAACACGTAATACATAATAATAATAGGTTACTCAATAAATATTAATTCAATTATTATTGTATGCACGTGTATATGTGTGTGTTGTGGCCACTGCTGTTGCTTTCGACGCTGATGACGTTGATGATGTGTACATGTGTGTATGTGTGTGTGTACGTGTTTATATGTGTGTGTATGTGTGTGTGTGTACGTGTTTATATGCGCCTATGTTCAGGCAATTCAGCACTTTCATTTACGCTCTCTTAATAACAAAGAAAATTAACTGATTGTTTACGAATCTAGGACGACACGACGAACATTTTTTTGTAACATGATTGCTTAATCACTGACTCACTCACTCACTGACTCACTCACTCACTCACTCACTCATTCACTCACACAACAACAACAGATCAAACAACAACAACTAATACTACTACTACCACCACCACTACTACTGCTACAACAACAACAACGACGACAACAACAAGGTAGGAGATGAAGACTCACATTTCATGCATTTGCTGGTTAGTATGTTTTGTATAAATATATATTTGCATGGCTGGATATGTAAATCAATTGAACATATATTATTATCACAATGTGATAACATAATATATAACATACAATATTATCACATCTTTAAATATAAACAGCTTATCAAAATACGTTCTTTCTCGCAAGCATCATTCAGCAATTAGCAGAAAATCAAGTGAACGTGATATTATTTTGTATGATCAAAATGACATTGAAGTTCAATTTTTCATTGTAATTAAATAAGTAATAATAATGTAAATAAAATAATAACAAAATAAATAAAATAATAAAGATTAAATAGTTAATAAAACTTCATAATTGGCGTTATATAGAAGTGTTTATACATATTGACGCTTATATGACTTTGTATGTGTGTGTTCATTTATATGGAGATAATTGTATGTGTTTGTGTGTGTGTGTGTGTGCATTTATATGTGTGTTTGTATGTGTGAGTGTTTATTTGTGTTTGTATGTATGTGTGCATTTGTTTGTATGTATGTATGTGTTTGTGTGTGTGTGTGTGTGTGTGTGTGTGTGTGCATTTCTATGTGTGTTTTTATGTGTAAGTGTTTGTGTGTGTTTGTATGTGTGTGTGTGTTTGTATGTGTGTGTGTGTGTGTGTGTGTGTTTGTTTGTTTGTTTGTATGTATGTATGTGTGTGTGCATTTCTATGTGTGTTTATATGTGTGAGTGTTTGTGTTTGTTTGTATCTCTGTGTGTGTTTGTATGTGTGTGCTTGTTTGTATGTGTGTGTGCATTCCTATGTATGTTTTTATGTTTTTATGTGTGAGTGTTTGTGTGTGTTTGTATGTGTGTGTGTGTGTGTTCTGTATGTGTGGTGTGTGTGTGTGATTGTGTGTGGATGTGATTGCGTTTTTACCGTTTTTACATATTTTGGGTAATAATAAGTCTGTAACTTTTCAGGGTTTTTCTTACAATATTAACGTGCAAGGTAATATTAAGTAGTCATGAGTAGCTATTTTCAAAAAGACGTCGTAACATCACGAATCAAGCAAAAATATTCATCCTCATTGTGACGTCACTTGTTTATTCATTTGCTCATTTTGAATAGTCGTTCCTTCCTTAACTCCTTCATTCGATAATGAATGAATTAATTAGTTAATTAATAATTAATTAGTGCAACTCCTTTATTTGATAATGAATTAATTAATTAGTTAATTAATAATTAATTAGTGCATCTCCTTTATTCTATAATGAATTAATTAATTAGTTAATTAATAATTAATTAGTTGACTGATTAATTGATTAATCATCTATAAATCAAATCTGTGCGTGTGCTTATTAATCACACTCATTCAATTTTCCCCAATCTCTTAATCACTTTTTTTCTTTGTTGTGCTCTGAAAGTATAAAAACACACGCAAGAACACCATACACTTGCCTGCTACATAAATACGGATGTGTACTTATGCACACACGAACACGCACACACACACACACACGCACACACACACACACACATATATATATACATGTTGAAAATTGTTGTAGACAAAAGTTCAGCAAAGCGATTAACGTTGATAAGTCAATAAGGTAACATCGAAGAAACTTCAAGTCTGTGGTTCTTTCTTGTGATATTGTACGAGGTACCAACTTCAAGATACAAGACAGTTGGTTGGCTGTTTAAATAATTATTTGGCAGGCAATTGTACCAGCTTTTCATACATTCTGGACAACTCATAAAACTTCTGAAGTTGTCAAATTGACGCCAAGCCAAACAAACAATGGAGTCAAAATTGTTCCTTTGTTTCGTCATGTTGTGTTCAGCAAGCAAGCCGATGTATTCGCTCCCTATTCCGACTACACCATCATTACTATCACTGCCGTCATCACTATCAACAACATCATCGTCTTCATCACAAATCAGACTGCAGATGACGACATTACGGCCAGCTCTGCACCTGACGCCAGAACCGACAAGAACATTTTTGTCATCGTCATCGTCGTCATCATTATCATCATCATCATCCTGGACATCATCATTACAAAAACCACTTTCCTCACCACCACCACCAACTACACCATCATCATCATCTCCAACATACTCGTCATTTTCAAAAACATCTGCCCCACCAACGCACTTCCCTGCACCACCACCACCACCAACAACAACATCTAAAACCACACCCCCGTTGTCACCACCACCAACAACAACAACACCAACATTAACAAAATCTAACACAACACCGCAATCGACAGCAACACCTTCACTGTCACCACCACCGACGACGACCACCAGACCATTTACCTCCAGTGCAACAAAATTTGTAAAAAATGAAGCCGACGCATATGTAAGTGATGGTACTTCCAACTTATTTGTTAATGGTGATAACGCGGCATCAACCTATTTGCTGGTAGTGATAACTCGCCAACATATTAGTCATATTTTATCGATATAACGAAACAATCTACTACTATATGTTCAGATTTTGAATAAAAGTTTTGCTTCGCAGTAACCAGGCTTGCATGCAGTTAAAATAACAATCGTCACACTCGCAGTACAAACATGCAGTGGGTTCATTCACACTTATATGCCTGCGTGCGTGCGTGCCTGCGTGCGTGCGGATGTTTATGAACAGTTACATAGCTTATTATAATATTGGTACATCTGACAAACATAAACCAAAGTTAGTGTTAATAAATTTTCAATGTTTTTCAAAGAACTATCTAGTCAAGTTTGGTTACGAGGTCAACTTGAAACCCAGCAAGGAAGTGGCGAACTCGCAGGACCTGCGTGGTGCTATCGCTCAGCTGCAGGACTTCGCTGGCCTGCCCCCCACTGGTCAGTTTCGTTAACCAGCCAACGACAAATGTATCGTTTTGTTATCGTTTTGTATTTTCAAAATTATTGCGCAATTTAATTTATTATGCGTTTTATTCAATATATAACTATTTTTTTTATAATTCTAACAACAAATCAGAACGCTAACATCGTGATAGTGAGAATGTGAACATCAGCGCTTACAGACGCACACACAAAAAGACATTCAAACTCAATTACACACTCATATATAAACACAAAGACACATAATATAAACACATAAACACACATACATACGTTATGACAGACACATACACAACTCACATATTTACGGATATACATTACAAGATTATTTGCATACCTAGATACGGACAGATAGATGAACACAGACGTATAGATGAATATAAACAAAAACGAATATACACATTTGTGCACAAGTACATGCACATACGCACACAGACACAAACACACGCACACACACAAACACACGCACACACACAGACAGACACAAACACACATACACACAGGCCTACTGGACAAGGCAACACTGGACTTGATGAACAGTGCCAGGTGCCAGCTGCCTGACATAACAAACGACACGAAGCAATTGAGGAGAAAGAAGAGATACAACTCAATAAGTTGGTTTTTTATTTGTAGATATCTTAATTATTTGATTTCACACAACTATAATTTTTCATTTCATTTGCCACATGTTCTCTATTTTTCCTCTAATATTTGATAGAATCTTCAGAATCAAATGTTGCATCAATTATGGTCTACTTCCAGTATTTTGCATTTATATAGACTAGAATTACGTTATTAGAAACGAATGTAGGAAAATAAGTTGTTATGTTTTACACAGAATGAGAAAAATATTGATTTATCTCACGAAAGCAGTTTTTAACCTAAATGTTTTAAACTTTTTTGGAAGGTAAGTGGTCGAGAACAACCCTGAGCTACAGCGTTAGGAACTTCCCAACCTCTTCAAAGGACATGCAGGACCCCTACAAAGTCATCCAAGCAATAGACACTGCTTTCAATGTGCGTTTATTGTACTCAATCAATCAATCAATCAATCAATCAATCAATCAATCAATCAATCAATCAATCAATCAATCAATCAATCAATCAATCAATCAATCAATCAATCAATCAATCAATCAATCAATCAATCAATCAATCAATCAATCAATCAATCAATCAATCAATCAATCAATCAATCAATCAATCAATCAATCAATCAATCAATCAATCAATCAATCAATCAATCAATCAATCAATCAATCAATCAATCAATCAATCAATCAATCAATCAATCAATCAATTCATTCATTTATTCATTCATTCATTCATTCATTCATTCATTCATTCATTCATTCATTCATTCATTCGTTCGTTCGTTCGTTCAATTAATTGTTTATTATAATTGAAACTTTTTAATCACGTCTTTGTGAATATTTTCCAAAATGATGCAATCGTTTATGTATTTTAACTTATTATTATTCACGCACAACAACCATAAATAATTAATTTTGTTATTGAAACCACACACACACACACACGCACGCACAGACACACAAACACACATATTGTTATGGTTTTCCGGTATCGCGTCCCATATCTTCTTTTCAGTATTTTATTTGACTAGGAAACCAGAATTGATTCCTAACTTATAAATCCAGCATTAAGAAACATGAAAGAAAAAATAAAAAGTAAAATTGAGACTGGAAAAATGAATAGGAAAGATATTGCCAGCTTATGCAAGTGATAACAAAATGACATTGACACTGGAACCTGGTGGGCCCCTCTGACAGTTCTTAAACCCCATACACTACATTTTACATGCAGTTGATTTAGTGAAGGTTGTCGAATCACGTGCATGAAAATGAAGTGTACGGTTTCACTTCACAGGACTCAATGGGCGAATTATCAGCCTCCGTTTCAAACTCAATAAAGGAGTTAGAAGTGTGGATGTCAGAAAATAAACTAAAACTCAACAACAATAAAGCTAAATGTATGTGGCTTGGTTAACAGCGCAGATTGCTGGACGTGAATGATTTCCAAGCCTCAGTTGTTGACCTAGGCGTCGTTCTCTTGCCCGAGTTTCTAAATTCGACAGTACTTCTGTTTACATTACATTGCTAATAATATTGCATTTTTTGATATAACCAATTATTATTAATTATACATGATGAAATCATCCTTCGTCCAGGACTGGTCAGCGGTCAGCAGCTTGAACTTCCAACGAACGAGCGACTCCAACTCGAACATCCAGCTGGCATTCTACAAGGGCAATCACGGGGACGAAGCTGCGTTCGATGGACCTGGTCTCGTGCTGGCACATGCTTTCTTTCCTGAAGTTGGATGGATCCATTTCGACGACGAAGAAATGTGGTCCTCTGATAACCGCGGTTCAATATACTACAACGCCACAATTCAATTTAAATCATCATCTCGTAATTAAAATATTTTGTTAATACGTACAAAATTATAATAATAATAATAATAATGATAATAATAATATGTTTAATTTAAATGATTGAAGGTCCAAACTTGCGTCAGGTGGCCACACACGAGATAGGGCACATGTTGGGGCTGGGACATTCCAGTGTTTCCAACTCAGTTATGTTTCCTTACTACTGGTTCAACAGCAACTTCAAACTTCAGCAGGACGACATCAACGGCATTGTTTCACTATATGGTTTCTATTTCCAACAAGTTTTCAATTAAATAATTAAGTTTTTCAATAATTCTGATGTTAATATTATAGTGGAAAAATAATTAATTTAGGAACAAAAGGTAGCAAAGCCAACTTGCCGGATCCGATTTTCACAACACCTGCAGCCGCTACCATGACGACAACAACCACCACAACCACAACAGCTTCCAGGCTACCAGCCACATCACCCCACCCACATTTCTATACTCCTGGAAGACCTTTCATGACCACAACTCCCCCCTTTGATTGGTGGGTCAAATCACGTTTCACTCCGACCAGGAAGAGAACTTGAATATTTTAATGAAACCTTTTGATTATTTTTTGGTGTGTAAAGGTTCTATTTAATTTTGTAAATGTTCTATGGTATATATTAATGAATATTTTATGGTACATTTATATATGTGTTTCAGGATATATTTTTTTATGATATAATTTTGTAAAAGTATTATATATCTTTGTAAATGTTGTACGATTTAATTTTGTAATTGTTCTCTGATATATTTTAATGAATGTTCTGTATGTTATATTTATGTAAATGTTTGTTATATATTTATGTAAAGGTTATAATATATATTTTCTGTCAATGTTTTATAATTTATTTTTGCAAAAATAAATGTTTTTTTGGTAAATTTTTGTAAAAGTTCTATGATATAATTTTTTAAATGTTCTATGGTAAATTATTGTATAGGTTCTTTTATATATTATTGTAAATGTCATAGGATATATTTTCTATGATATAATTTTTTAAAGGTTCTATTATATATTTTTTTATCACATATTTTAATGAATGTTCTTTGGTATATAGTTTTGTAAAGTTCAATGATTTATTTTGTTACGATATATTTTTCTGAATTCTCTGCAATGTTTTTGCAAGTGTTCTTTTATGTGTTTGTGTTCATCATCTATAAGTTCACGTATTTATTAAAATTTTGACAATTTATATTAAGCAGGATTGCAATTAATGTTTTGACCTTATTTTTAAGATTTTGATATATACATTTGCGAACATTTAATACGAAGCTGGTCAATAAAGAGGTTGATTGTTTATTTGGGGTGTCGATGACAACGTTTTACAATAACCAACATTGTCAAACTGTGTTTGAATTTATCTTTTGGAAGAGAACACCTACACACATATACATGTGCACGCGTACACACATACATACATACATACATACATACATACATACATACATACATACATACATACATACATACATACATACATACATACTACATACATACATACATACATACATACATACATACATACATACATACATACATACATACATACACACATACATACATACATACATACATACATACATACATACATACATACATACATACATACATACACATACATACATGCATACATACATACATACATACATACATATATACATACATACATACACACACACACACACACACACACACACACACACACACACATACATACATACATACATACGCCCACTTTCGTTTGCGCTTATCTGGATGATATCAGCAAAGCTTCGGACGGTCCAACTCTGGCCGATAGCTACGAATATTTGAAGCATAACTCCGCTGCAATTGGCTTAGAGTTAAACATTAAAAAATGCGAACTTCACTGCCAAAGTTTATTTCAGGTGCCACATGCGCTGGCTGAAATACCCAGAGTTGGTGCATCAGAACTGAGTTTTTTAGGCACACCCTTGGTCGAGGGCGATTATCAAATAAAGTTTTTTGACCAAAAGCTCTCTGAGCTTAAATTCGCCCTGGGTCGTGTTTCCTGTCATTCGGCCTATGACGCCTTGACTATTATCCGCAATGTCCTCAGTTTGCCCAAATTGATGTACTTCCTGCGTACATCTAAACACATTGACCCTTCTAAATTGGGCGAATTTGACGGAGCCCTGCGCACCGCCCTGTCGTCGATTTGCAATGTTCAAGTGACTGACAGTGGTTGGTCCCAGGCTCAGCTGCCGGTGCGATTTGGTGGACTGGGGTTGCTTAGCGTGGTTCAGCTGGCTCCCGTTGTTTACAATTCTTCTGCCGCTGCCACTCTCGATCTGCAGTCTTCCCTGCTCCACCGGTTTTTTCGTTGCCGCGATATTCTTCCCCCAGTGTCCGCCCCGGGGGACCGTACGCACGTCCAAATTTTGAACGAAGAATATAAAAAAATCTTTCAAAATTTGTTGTCTTCATGCGGCGACGACTTTTCCACCGCTCGTTTGTTGGCCATGTCCAGCGTTGCCAGCTGTGGGTGGTTGAGATCGTGGCCTAACACCTCTGTGGGCACCAGGCTTGACGACGAGTCTGTGAGATTTGCCATTGGCTTCAGACTTGGCCTGGTCATTCAGAATAAATACACGTGCCGATGTGGCGCTGGGGCGGACGAGTTTGCGCATGATGGTGGGCGCCCGGACGGATGCACGCTAATACCTTGGAGAGCCGGCAGATGTTTGGCGTGGGATGTTACGGTCCCTGGCACCCTCGCCAAACGGTACGTAAACCTGACAAGTAAAGAATGCGGTTTGGCCGCGGCCAGGGCAGCGGACGAGAAAATGAAAAAATATGGGAACGCCCTCCCCTCGATGGAATTCTTGCCAATATGCATCGAGGTTCTTGGCCCGATGGACCCCAACACCCTTAAATTTCTTAAGGAAATATGCAAAATGATCAGCGTCAGATCAGGCGACAGCAGGGAACTGTTTTTCGCAACTAACCACATTTCGTGCTTGTTGCAGCGGTTCCTGCGTGTCTGTGTGCTTGAAAATATCCAACTGAATGCCGACATGTGCAATTAAAGACAAATCAAAGTTTTAATCCATTTGTTACTTGATGTTTGACGGTTCAGTGTCACTCATCATGTTTTGGTTTTAACATACATACATACATACACACATACATACATACATACATACACACATACATACATACATACATACATACATACATACATACATACATACATACATACATACATACATACATACATACATACATACATACATACATACATACATACATACATACATACATACATACATACATACATACATACATACATACATACATACATACATAGATCAAAGTGTTAATCCATTTGTTACTTGATGTTTGACGGTTCAGTGTCACTCATCATGTTTTGGTTTTAACATACATAGATGATAGGTCGCTTAATCTGACAAGATTGATATAAAGAATTAACACTATAAAACCTAAATACACTACTACACTACCAAATGAAAACATTTGTTGTCGAGTAGTCAGTATACGCGTGAGAGAATTAACGCTCAACCGATAAATAGAATCTATTGATATTTATACGTAACGAACTTTTGAGATATAAAATAAATAGGAATGAATAATAGTCAAGGTCAATATTCATAAATAAATAACTTAAATAACAGAATAAATAGAATAAATAACAAACAAATAACTTATTTTTCAGATATCGCATTAAAAATATTTAGGTTTTTTCCTCAAACCAAACCTATTGAAAGTTAACAATTCATTGCAACATGACTTAGTAGGCCAACTTTTTTGAGGTATTTGTTAGTTTCATAATTTTGGTTTGGCAAGTTATTGTTGATGTGAGTTATTGAGCTGTTATATGTGGTTTTTGAGCTATCTTATTCGTTGTTTGAGCTTTGTTTGTCTGCAACTTTACTCAAACCGTTTGTATTCTGTTTGGAGTTGGTCGACGAAGGCTCATTTACGTTAAGAAATACTGTTGGTGTTGAAACTGCAGTTGTTAAATTTGTAGTAGTAGTTATTGTTGCAAAAGGGGTTGTTGTTGTTGAGATTGTTGATCTGTCAACAGTTGTTGATGTTGGATAGTTTGCAGTTTCTATGTTAAGTGTCGTTGTCGACGTCACATCAGCGGTTGCAGTGGAAGTCGTGTGGTCAGCGTTCCGTTCCGCAGTCCCTCTCGTTTGTTGGTTTAAAATAATTTCAGCACTTGTTGAGCGTTCATTTGTAGGTTCGAGAGATGAAAACATGAATATTCTATTTGTTTCATTGCCATTTTCGTTTTCCTGAAGTCTATTGTAGACGGGCACATCAGATACATGTTCCTGTTCGATCTTCAAATTCAACGGCAATTGATTTCTTACGTCTGATTTAGGACCTGCGATGTTGAAGTGAAGATGCAAAACGTGAAATTTGTCGGAAATGAAAAACATAGACATGAATAATGATGAAATGACTGACCGTATATCGTTTCGATGCCTTTGATGTCATCATCAGTCAGCATAAAGTTGCTGGTGTAGTAATGGAAAGGGTACATGACGGTTTTTGGCACGCTGCTGTGACCCAGCCCCAACAAATGCCCAATCTCGTGAGTCGCCACTTGCCGCAGGTTCATTACTGATTATCAGGAAATTTAAATGAAATGTTGATAGAAAAAAGTCTAAACTCATTGAAATTCTACATGCAAACTTTAAAATAGAAAACAACCATTAATAAAAAATGCGGAGCTAACATTTGCATCAGTTTAAAAGATTTGCACGAACCACTGAAAATTGAAATGTCAACATCAACCGCTTTTCGGAAAAAAACAAAAAAGATTAAAACCTTTATCGACGCGTGACCACATTTCATCGTCATCGAAATGCAGCTTGCCATATTCAGGAACAAACGCATGAGCCAGAATGCCAAACATGCCGTCGAAACTGAAGCCATCCCCGTGGTCCCTCTTGTAGAATCCGATCTGAATGTCAGCCGTGGAGTTGTTGCTGCTCTGCTGGAAGCTCAACCTGCTCACGGACGCCCAGTCCTGTTATTTGTGCGCGGTGGAGTCATAAATGTTAAAAAACAAAATGAAACTTGTTGAAAGTAAAAAAGATCATTTGGTAAAAAATTAAATTATAAATTTTAAAATTAAAGTCTATTTTTTAAAGTTGTTTGTTCGTGAATAATCTTTTATGATTCTTTTTTGTTTTACTTTAAATGATTGAGCCAAGAGTTGTTCAACATCATATCGTCCGTTAATATCTGATGGGTAGGTTGGATAGCTGTTGATTACGTACGTCAGGGTGGTTTTTGCCCATTTCCCTAGAAAGAATTAAAACATTTATTAATTGTTGATTTTCATTTCATCAACTATAATTGGAATTTCTAATCTAATTCTAAATTATTTTTCATTTTAAATCAAAGTTGGCTCTACAATCTCGCCAATTATAATATTAATAACATACGAAACTGACAGGTAGCGAGTCAATGAATAAATAAATAAATTTGTTACCCAACGTTGAGAACCGCTTGCTTCTTTCCGACGTTTGAATGATGTCGGGGAACTGACAGCGAGGTCTCATCAGAACATTCTTCGTTCGTTCATCGAATCTTCCTGGTTCGTGTGCGAATCATTCAGTCGTTCAAACATTCATCATTCATTCATTCATTCATTCATTCATTCATTCATTCATTCATTCATTCATTCATTCATTCATTCATTCATTCATTCATTCATTCATTCATTCATTCATTCATTCATTCATTCATTCATTCATTCATTCATTCATTCATTCAGTCAGTCAGTCAGTCATTCATTCTTTCACTAATTCATTCATTCATTCTTTCATTAATTCATTCTTTCACTAATTCATTCACTCACTCACTCACTCACTCACTCACTCACTCACTCACTCACTCACTCACTCACTCACTCACTCACTCACTCACTCACTCACTCACTCACTCACTCACTCACTCACTCACTCACTCACTCACTCACTCACTCACTCACTCACTCACTCACTCACTCACTCACTCACTCACTCACTCACTCACTCACTCACTCACTCACTCACTCACTCACTCACTCACTCACTCACTCACTCACTCACTCACTCACTCACTCACTCACTCACTCACTCACTCACTCACTCACTCACTCACTCACTCACTCACTCACTCACTCACTCACTCACTCACTCACTCACTCACTCACTCACTAATTCATTTATTCATTCATTCATTCATTCATTCATTCATTTATTCATTTATTCATTCAATCATTCATCAATCAATTATTTAATGAATTATTTATACATTCATTATAAACCACCGCCAGTTTGCATTCCATATTGAAAAATGTTTCGAGGTACGTACAAATATTTAATAACATATGGAGATGTTTCAAAAAAAATATAATCGTGTATAAATGTGGCGAAATATGTATTAATCCTTAATGACTTCATATGCAAATGCAGTAGATGAACGCAAGGAGCATTTCACGGAATCAATTGAATCGCGCACTTCAAACGACGCCAGCATTACGCATCCACGACTTATCAGAATACATACAGGACTCAAACGCAACGTGAACATGATTTAAAAACAATAAAAGAGCAAATTTCACTGCTCTTGAAACAAATTTAAATTTTAAAACATATTACAGACATACATTAAAATGTCACACAATAAAGTGCATTACGAATTTTCTCACAGTAAACATTGCACCGTTCATTGAAGCGCTCTGAATAACGAATTTAACCACACACGCGTTTGCATTATGCACTAAAAATTATTAATAAACATTGAAATTTAAACTGCTGCTTGCAATCGTTCGTGTACTTTTATTAATTCATTATTTCAAGTAAAAATTTAATTTATTACATTTAACTCTTGTGTAATGTTGATAATGTCATACTTAATGATGTCATACTTGAAGGGTCCTTTGCACGAGAATAATAACATCGTGATGTAGCACAGCAATTTGATGCAGTGCTTACAATCACCAGTTTTATGCAAAAGTTTTGTAAAATTTCATTTCAATCCCAATCAAAACAGCCAGTGTGATAGGCCGGGGCACAATTATTAATACACGCTACGAACAGCAACCATTGCGATAACAATTATTTAAATAAATGCATTAATGTAATTATTACAACAGCCAACAATGACAAACTGGCATCAATAAAAATGACATCAACAAACATGACAACACGACGGATAACAGGGAGACGACACAGGGAAGGAAACGACCAACCAACCGGTGACCGGGATGTTGGCGAACCTCTGCAGCTTCCTGACGGCCCCACTCAGATCGGACCTTCCCAGCCACTTCCTGCGCGGCATGTAGCCGTAATTTGTGAGGTAGTCCTGAGAGGAGAGGTGAAGGAAATGTTTCGAAACATCATTTAGTTGCTCATCTGTAGCAATTCAATCTTCATGAACTAGTAAGCTTCGGCATTGATTACATACAGGTTTCAGCCTTGCTTTGTTTTTCAACATTACATACGTATAATGTTTTTTTTTTTGATAATTCCTCGCTTATAAAATAAGTTCAAAGCCAAAATATAAATTGTGCAGTTTATTGTAAATGCTGAAAAACCAGATGAATTTCAATAAAAATTTTGTAATTCGTCAAACTCACAGACATGCGCACAATTTTTGAAAATTTTGACATTAGGGTACAATAAAAATTAAATTGAAAACTAAATCATCACGAAAGTAAAATATTCACGATGAAATATCTCACGTAGATATTGGGCACTTTTCTGCTGAATCCAACATTAATTTTATTGGTAGTAATCGTTTGCGCTGATGTGGTTGTGGTACTTGTCGCTGGTGTCGTTGTAGTTGATGTGGTTGTGGCTGTTATCGTTGTAGTTGATGTGGTTGGTGTAGTTGATGTGGTTGTGGTAGTTGTTGCAGTTGATGTTGTTGTGGTAGTTGTCGCTGGCGTTGATGTGGCTGTTGGAGTTGATGTGGCAGTTGCAGTTGCTGGAGTTGATGGAGTTGTTATAGTTGTTGAAGTCGATGCGATAGATGGCAGAAGAGGAGCCGAATAAACGGTAGAAGCCAGCAAAAGAATGCACAAAGCACTGCTAGGTATGGGAAACTTCATCTCTCTTTCTTTCTATTTAAATTTTATTTTTATTTAAAAAATCGGTTCTCGATTATTTGTATAGAAGTGTTTAAAAAGTTGACACAAATTGAAACACAATTCTTTATGTTCCAATTAATATCAAATTAGAATAATTATTGTTAGTTTGAAATGTATTATAATAAAGCAATTTGTAGTGATTTTTAATTGCACAATTTGAAAAGTTAAAACCTCGTTGGCATGAACTTGCGCTTATATAAGGCTTGCAAGTGAGTGTTGTATCAATTGAAAATTTCAATTGAAGAGTCGAATGTCATTATTTCTCAAAAGTACAGTTGTGGCGCTGTGGCGCTGTGTGTGTTGTTGTGTGCTGATGTGTGTTGTTGTGTGTTGATGTGTGTTGTTGTGTGTTGTTATGTGTTGATGTGTGTTGATGTGTGTTGTTGTGTGTTGTTGTGTGTTGATGTGTGTTTGTGTGTGTTGTTGTGTGTTATTGTATTGTTGTTGCATGCTGTTGTGTTGTTAGTTGTAGCGTGTTGTTGTTTGTTGACTGATGTTGTTGCAATTATTAGGCGTGACTACGTGTAGCTAGTTTGGTGTTGTGAGCTGTTGTCTTGTTCTGTGAAATTGTAAGTGTTGTTGTTCTATGTAATTGTAGGTGTGTTTGCGCGTGTGAATTCGTTTTATTTAAGATTGCTATCTTGTTGACCATAATTATGCATAATTTCTTAGTTGTTGTTGTTGCTGCTGCTGTTGTTGTTGTTATTGTGGTTGTTGTCATTGTTATTGTTGCTGATGTTACTGTTGATATTGTTGTTGATGTTATTGTTGTTGCTGTTGATGATGATGATGATGATGTTGATGATGATAATGTTGTTGTTGTTGTTGTTGTTGAGTTCATTCATTAATAACTTCCCATTCACAGTGATATTGAATCATCAGATTCAATGATTACACACACACACTGGCGGTGCTGGTAGTAGTTGCTACTATGTAGTTGAGGCATGGTTGTAGTTTTTGTTGGTTCTATTGTTGTTTTAAGTTACTATTACCACTACTACTACTACTACTACTACTTTACTACTACTAATATTATTACTATTATTAATAGCTGTAGTAGTAGTAGTGGTAATGGTAGTTGTTGTTGTTATAGTAGTTATTATAGTTGTATATACTACTATTACTACTACTACAACTATTACTACAACTGCTACTACTACTACTATTAATACTACTAATAATAATAATATAATAATAAAATTAATAATAATAGTAATAAAAATAATCATAACAATACAAATAAAAATAATAGTAATAATAATAAAAATAACAATAATATAATTATTGAAAAGTAAAATAAGAAAATAAATGTAATATATTGGTTAACAACTGTTACTAAACCCATTATTGTTTCTGATCAAATGAATGAAGGAATGAATGAAGGAACGAACGAACGAACGAATGAATGAATGAATGAATAAATGAATGAATGAATAAATGAATGAATAAATGAATGAATAAATGAACGAATTGCTCTTCGGAGTATATTATTTTCATGCAGTAATTAATTTCAACCTTAATTATATTTCAATGTGATCCAAATGTTTCAAAAAAATTAATTATGCTTCTGCCGTTACAATGACATGATTGTGCGCAACGTGTAAGTCTCAGTCAGAGTTGTGGTGCGTGTAGCCAGACAATGAATGAATATGAAGAAGTTTGTTGGTGGCTGACATGTGTGCGTGTGTGCGTGCGTGTGTGTGTGGATACTTGTGTGTGTATGCGCGTGCCTATATTAGTATGTGGGTTTGTATGTGTGCTTATATGCCTGTTTGTATTTACAATTGTAGCTGATTATATTTGTTTTTGTTTGCATGTTTTTATGTGTGTCTGTCCCTCTATGTTTGTGCGTATGATGTATGTGTGCACGTGTGTATGTGTGTCTGTGTGACTTTGTATGTGTCCGGATGTGTATCTGTGTGTGTATCTATGTGTAGACCTGTGTGGTTCGATTTGTTTTTTTTAGGAGTTTTTAAGTGTGTTTTCGACTGTTATTTGTGATCATATGTGTGTTTGCTTGTTTATGTATACGTTTTTTGTATGTGGCTCTTATGTGTGTTTGTATGTTTGTATGTGTGTTTTTGTATGATTACTCATATGTTCGTCTGCATTTGTTCATATATGTTTGTATAAGTGGCAGCCGTTTTTTTTATATATGACGGTGTGTTTTCCTGTCTGTGTGAATGTGTGTGTGTGTTTATATGTGTGTATGTGTGCTTGTACTTGCGTTTTAGTTTTCATGTGTGTTTCGTTGACTGTTTGTGTGTTTGTTTTCAAATATTGCTGACCATCATTATGAATATTCAGTGCCACTTGTTCGAAAGTTGATTTTTTTTAATTTTTTGTCCACATGAAGTTCATGGGAGTTCACGATCCTTATACATCTGTTTTTATTGGCTTTTTTTCTGTTTTCTGTTCATCTGTTTTTTGGCCATTATGTTTTCAAATGTGCTACTA